ATATCTTGTCTTGTAGGGTCTGCTACTCTTTCAACATCATTTTGTTTAACACAGCTCGATATTCTATAGCAAAGCACAGTAAAAAATAACCTTTAGTCGTACGGATCGTAACAATACAAGTATTTTAAATAGTCCAAAATTTGTAATACAGTGCTGAACATAATTATAGAGACACTCTAGAAATCGTCGTAATTTTCGTTCTTGTCAGTGATTTTGTCTGAAACTTTGCAGTATGGTGCGCATGTAAGCCTACCATAACTCCTCAGAACAGCTTCCAATCCCGTTGATTTCGAACGGAGAAAATGGAAAAATTCGAAAAAGCCTGTTTTGCAAGCTGGACATAATCATAAGGACACCTAGCCTTTCTAAACATTATCGCATTCCTTGACTCCCAAATTTCTTGTAGAGTTACATCCCAGAATATGGAACTTTTGCAGCACCTAGGACCTGTCATGCTACTCAAGGAAAGATGATCCTTGCATTTTTCGTTTCCAAAGGCATCAGAAGTCAAACTGCGTCAACAAACAGCTGGTTTGAGGAGTTTTCAAGCCCGCGTTCATTTCAAATGATAGTCCTGGAATACAATTAGCCTTTTTGATAGATAAGGTGAAGAGCGCTTCCGTAAGCTCCGCGTAATCGCTGATATTGACAATCAGACTCCAACCTCACCATAAGGTTGTCGCGCTTTTGCACCACAAAACTCATTTTCCAATGTTCGTGAAGTGATGGACTCGATTTATTACATTGTCTACATGGAGATGCATCTTTTGCAACAACTTTTAGATTTTTTCTAGTGCTGCAGTTGCCATTTAGATCTGAAGTACTTTCAACGAAAATTCTATGCGAGCAGTAGATTCAACATGATCACAAATCTCACTATTTTATTCTCTGTTTCTCGCATTTTGCGCGGTAGCTGAGATTAGCAAGATTTTGAAGTTTCAAGCGGTCTACTGTTCGATTTCTTGATTTGTATTGGATATGATTGTGCAGGGTGCTCGACTCAACTCTCAACGGATGACAACTGCGGTTGAACCAGAATGTGCAACCCCGGATTTTTCCTGACTAGGCACACAAGTTTATTGTTGTACGTGTATTGTTGTGGCTACATTGCAGCGTTTTCTGTAATTTGAAAATCGAGTTTTGTGGTGCAAAAGCGCGACAACCCTATGGTGAGGTTGGAGTCTGATTGTCAATATCAGCGATTACGCGGAGTTTGCGAAAGCGCTTTTCACCTCATCTATCAAAAAGGCTAAGTGTATTCCGGGACTGTCATTTGAATGAACGCGGGCTTGAAAACTCCTCAAACCAGCTGTTTGTTGACGCAGTTTGACTTCTGATGCCTTTGGAAACGAAAAATGCAAGGATCATCCTTCCTTGAGTAGCATGACAAGTCCTAGGTGCTGCAAAAGTTTCATATTCTGGGATGTAACTCTACAAAAAGTTTGGGAGTCTAGGAATGCGATAATGTTCAAAAAGGCCGGGTGTCCTTATAATTATGTCCAGCTTGCAAAACAGGCTTTTTTCGAATTTTTCCATTTTTCTCTGTTCGAAATCAACGGGATTGGAAGCCGTTTTGAGAAGTTATGGTAGGTAGGCTTGCATGCGCACCATATAGCAAAGTTTCAGACAGATTCATTGACAAGAACCAAAATTACAACGATTTTTAGAGTGACTCTATAATTATGTCCAGCACTGTATGCTTGTATCTGAGCTGTAACAAGCCATTAGATTATTTAAGCTTTGCATTGAACTTGCCCTGCTTAGTGGAGAAACCGATAAAGCATGTCAATTGTGCAGCATCTTGATTCTAAAGAGTATGTTCTTCTGAGTTGTCTCTTAAATGCATAGCAAGATTTACAACACCTTTTTCCTCTTTTCGCCGCGAACACTAAGTTCAGCGTGCTTCCGATTTTTGCGCAAGACAGCGTTCGTCAGGCTATCCCTTTACATGTGTAGAGGTGCATGTCTTTTGCAAATGTCCGCATGAGCATCTTTTGGCGACATAAAGTCTTCTAACCGCCTTTCCATATTATTGACTAGCTGACAAACCCGACCCGGTCCGCTTCTGTCGATATTATTTTCGAAGCAGCGTGCTCACTCAATCCCCTGTGCCAAGTTTCAGCTTCGCAGCTCAAACTTTGCAAAAAAATAGAATCGATATCGATCAATGACGAAAAGTAGCCAGCGACACTCGCCCCTCCCCGAAGTGTATGTGTGCGAAGCTTGGTCCAGATCGATTCAGAAATAAAGATTTTCCATTTGCAACATACGTATAAATAAAGTAGACACACATACAGTCCGTGTCAATCACGTGCTTCCCTTTCCGTAAGCTCAATGAGCTTCGCGTCAGGTTTGCGCACGTATGGGATGTGTATGTATGACGTATGTCATTGAACGTGTAGATTGCTTCGTATATCTTGGACAGCTAATTCAATGCCACGCAGTCATGATAAAAAAAATTTCCAGACGCATAAGTGCAGCTGGAATGCATTTGGAAAGGTACGACAATTTCTCGGCAATCGAGATGTTGTTGTTCATCTCAAACGCCGTTACTTCAATAACTTGATCCTTCCAACGCTTTTATACGGTTGTGAAACTTGGGCGGCGACTAAGAACTGGCTGCTGAAACTTCTTCGATGCCAAAGAGCGATGGAACGATCAATGTTAGGATTTCGCTTGAGAGACCAAAAACGACGAAACTGAAAGATGTAGTCGTAACAGCTCGTCGAAGAAAATGGCGATTTGCTGGAAGAATACTTAGAAAAGAAGGCGATAAAAGATGGACAGACATGCTTACACGCTGGATTCCAGCTACTGGCCGACATTTCGGTGATGGAAAACCTAGAGTAAGATCCGGGCCCAATAAATATTCTCTTCACTAGTAGGCGACACAAAGTGGTAATAAGATGATTTACTAGACACGATACATGAAGGTACAGAATAAACAGCAGAGGTTGGTGCGAGATGATTTGTAGGTGAGCGTGCCGCTCTGCAGATGGGGTTCCGAGATATCTCCTCTACAGTCTCATGTGTTGTTTTATATCGGTTGGCAGCCATTATCAGACCGTTCTCAGCTATGCTGACTGTAGAAATATGTCAACATCTGCATATGCCACCGTGGGAATCTTTTCCTCTTACACTAGAAAGAGATGGGAAGACGACATCCGTAAGCACTGCAAGATATATAAACCTTATTATAATTGGCAGGAACTAAGAATGGAATGTTCTGTATGGAGAACACTTGGTACTACATATGCGGTCCCAATACTGACATAATGAAGCCTTACATCATCACGGTCTCTTGCATGAACAATGTAAGCCGTTGAGAATGAATAAGAGATAAAGATAAAGATGGTTTGGAACGCATTCGAGGCACACAGCTATCCATTTTAGCTCACTACGCTTTCGGCCTTGGTTTTGGCTGTGGACTCCCCGCTTGGTTTATTTTTGCATTGCAGCCTGCGATTATCTTCTATCCTCTCAAATTTATGCTTACTTTCTCGTTTCTCCAACTGTCAAAATAATTCATCCTAGTGTCGCTTCAGATGTGTCCGTTGTTCGTTGCTTTTCGGTTCCATATTCTTATTCACCCAAACGTTTCTTCGATTGTTGTGAACTTTTTCAAAAAAATCAGAATTTTTTTACTGTAGTTGATTACCATAATTACTGAAAACAAAACTTCTCCAGTTATGTGTTTGATTGTGCAGATGGACCAACAGAAAAATCACGTTGTTCAAAAAACTGCATTGATCGCGACAGATTTTGTCTGCTAGTGAGCGTCCTGTTCTCACAATCAGCATAGCTGGCTCAGCAACATATGCAAAAGAGTGATCCGTCACATAGCAATTATGGAAGCAGAAAAATAATCTAGATTCAGGAGGAAGTCTGTCTTTACGAGTCAGTAAGCTAGCGTACTGTACTAAAATCTCTTACAGTGAATCCTCCACCGTTCGTGGGCATGAGCGATAATGCCATGCTCAACAAAGTTCTCTCAAGAGTCGCGCTGCGTACTTTATATCAAATTCATTTGAGTGAAAATGAAGCTTAATTATTTGAAAAGACCGAAAACTTGAAGAATTATCAGCTCTGCCGCAAATACGACCTTGTGGAAGTTCAGAATGTGAAAGCTTAATCAAATAGATGTAGGCGTGCATGAAACTCTTTAATTCAAAGGTAAAATAAGAGAATGGATTTATGCAGAGAAAGTCAACTTCACGAACAGGATAGCTGTGTGCCTCGAATACTTCATGGCTCGGGCATTCAGATACCCTGATCGGTTGCGGGTACGCACGCAGCGCCCTTGCGTAGCGCATGCGTAGTTCCCATGCGAAAGTGACATTCACTGTACAAACAGATTAGCTTTTCACCATCATTGCAAGTTTTTCAGACCTTCGGATTCTGCACATTTGAAAGGCTGAAAATATAGCAAAAAATTGAAGTAAAGGAAATATTATGGAAGCACCAGTGCAGTGCAAACGCTGCGCCAGTATCCACGGGGACGCAGCGCGTATCGATTTATCGACGGCGCTGGCACGGCGTTAGCACGGCGCTGGTAAAAATACACAACGCAACCTGAGAGCAGTATATGTAACTATATTTATTCATTTTATATCACTATAATGCACCGAAAAATGTCACTTGCGATTTCTGCCAAATTTTGGTATTTTTTTTGTAGAATTGGACATTCGAATGTTTAATTTCAGAATACCTACAATCGAAGGAATTTTTGCTTAGCATAGTGTAATGCCGTGCCGAGAAATTGCGGTAAAATTTGCTCATGAACAAATAGCAGCGCCTGTAACGCCAGCCACTTGCGCGCGCACAGGCGGCATGGGCGTGGCTACTGCTCACGCGCAAATTATACCACATTTTCTTGGCACCGCAATCATACTATATTAGGCGCAAAATCTACTTGTACATTGTAATCAAAAGAAGGAGACATGTGTGAAGCTTAAAAAGGCAAATAAATATTTATCAGAAGTAAAAAAGTTGTGCTTCAATTAACTTTCGTTAGCGAGCGATCTGTCATAAATGTCTCCCACATAACGGTCGTGGCACTCTTGGTTTCCATGGTTAAACATGAACAATCTGTAATTGGCTATTGTTCAAAAATCAAGACCTTTACAAATTATTCGAATTTACCGTAAATGTCCTATAATGGAAGAAGCGCTCATTAATGTCCATTGTTCTTCAAGCATAAGTTGTTTATAGAAATTGAAGAATTGCCGAAGTTGTTCCGAATTCGGTCGATGCACTTCGATATTCATCTAAAGAAGCAATTCGTTTCAATATATGTCAGTCTAGATATCCATTTTTCAGCAGTATATCCGCTCCGTGAGAGTATTCTTGTGCGTGCGTGTACATCGTGTCGGGACCGCTGTTGTCAATATGCTGACTTTAAAATCTCCGCTTTTCCTGCTGGTAATCTTGGAGGAAATTCGCTTTTGTTACGGCCCCATTTTAAAAATGTCGCCCCGCGCTACATCCTGCTTCGAGCGGTCAAATCGAATCCATTGATTGGAAATTGGGCACGACGTATGTCCTTGCGCGGCAGATGCGTGGCTCCCAAGCAAAAGGGACTTTACATTTGAAACCCAACACAAACGCTGACTTTCAAAGGCACTGATGTTACCTGACAAATCACGATGCTTTCCTTGGCCAGTTGTCCAGTTTGGAGTAGAAAAGGTAGCATAGGATATTCAGCATGTTCGATGTCGATCATAATTTGATCGATAACTGATTTTTTCACATAATTACGTATGAACGTGGCGATATCGATATATTTCACATCCTGATAGCGGTAAATATCTAAGAATGGAAAATTTACGGCTATGAAGTGTCGTAGGTAAGATGTGAAATATGTCACCTTCTAGAATATACGATCGGAATGAGCCATTTTCTGCGCCGACAGCAATGTTGTAAAATTTTCCCACCTTAAAACAACATCTATTTTTTAATGTAGAGCTTATCGCTTGAAGTTTACCAAAGATTCTGCCGACAAAAGCTGCTTACATGATATAACTGAAAGACTGAAGTTTTTTCAATGACCTGGAGGACCACGTCCGTTTTCAGCATCCTATCTTTATTGTAAATGTTTTTGGTCACAATTTCGAAAACACCTTAAAAATTTTCCTAGATATTCTACGGTAGTCCAAAACTAGACAAGATCTCAATTGAATGAGAAAGCATTCGCAAATTTTTATTTCTCTGAGACGGGGCACTGCTCAGACAAATCACGAGAACTTTCGGAGGACAAGTCAATTTGCGAAACTTCTCGAGAGTTGTTTCAGTACTGAGTCGAAAGAAGGCGGAAAAATGGGAATTTCCCGAGAAAAATGACGTCAACAGCAATAAAGTTAGGTTTTTCCCAGGAAATCCCCGGAAACTTCCCTTGAATACAATGCTTCCCGAGGCCCTTATTGAGGGGACTTTCCCAGAGCTGTATTGATGTAATAACTGTATTTGCTAACCTAACATTTATTCAATATACAGTGACCGCCAAAAAGTTGCGGACAAGCCGCCCTCCTTTTTTCATCGCTCATTTCCAGATGGAAAACAAAGATGAAAAGATGATCTGATTGCATGTGGTGATAGAGCTCATCAAGAGCTACAACCCACACGTCGCGCTTTCTGGAAAACATGTATTATAGAAATTTTAAAAATGTTTTTCTGAAAAAATTCCGAAAGTGGACGCGTCACAATTTTGCGGACATTAATTCTTCGAACGCGAAAATTTTCTTTTAGGTCTTTTCTTGGGGCAAAAACAGAAGTTTTCCGGAAAGGTAAGCATAGTATATTGTAGAACTCATCGAGGACAATGTTATGGTAGTGATCACTTTCAAAAAAACTCAAGCTTGAATTTTATTTTGCTTCTTGTCAAAAAATAACTTCTAATTCCCTGCTTCAAGCCAAATTTCTTCACACGGAAACCCATTCAAGACATCCAAACGAAGCTCTCGGATAAAATGGATGCCCTTTGTTATCTTTTATGCATCGGACATGTGCTGGAGAGTTTCTTCGTCAAAAATGGCTCTTGACAGTGCGTGCACACGACCCCACCTGCACCTCACCACTGACTTGCACCGCTTTGCAGGCTTGTAACTCAGCCGGCAGTCACTCTACGAGATTGCAAGTAGGCTCATTCGAAAGAGCATGACTTCCTGGACACAGTGGTTTGCAAAAGAGTTGGGTATGACAAACAGCGGAGAAATGGCGGATGGGGTGTCAAAGCGCAGCTTTGGTGGTAGGCTAAGGATTTTTCAGCTAAAGTTAGAAAGGGCTCCTTTCGCTACCAGTTTCATCCTAGGAGTTCAAAACTGTCAACTTTCGTGTAATAGATCCATTTCGGAGCTCTAAGACTGTTCTTGTGTTGATAGGAGCCTTCACTTCATTCATCTCCAGTGCTGCGCTTTGACACCCCATCCGCCATTTCTCCGCTGTTTGTCGTACCCAACTCTTTTGCAAAGCATTGTGTCCAGGAAGTCATGCTCTTTCGAATGAGCCTACTTGCAATCTCGTAGAGTGACTGCCGGCTGAGTTACAAGCCTGCAAAGCGGTGCAGGTCAGTGGTGAGGTGCAGGTGGGGTCATGTGCACGAACTGTCAAGAGCCAGTTTTGACGAAGAAACTCTCCAGCACATGTCCGATGCATAAAAGATAACAAAGGGCATCCATTTTATCCGAGTAGCTTCGTTTGGATGTCTTGAATGGGTTTCCGTGTGAAGAAATTTGGCTTGAAGCAGGGAATTAGAAGTTATTTTTTGACAAGAAGCAAAATAAAATTCAAGCTTGAGTTTTTTTGAAAGTGATCACTACCATAATATTGTCCTCGATGAGTTCTACAATATACTATGCTTACCTGTCCGGAAAACTTCTGTTTTTGCCCCAAGAAAAGACCTAAAAGAAAATTTTCGCGTTCGAAGAATTAATGTCCGCGAAATTGTGACGCGTCCATTTTCGGACTTTTTTCAGAAAAACATTTTTAAAATTTTTATAATACATGTTTTCCAGAAAGCGCGATGTGTGGGTTGTAGCTCTTGATGAGCTCTATCACCATATGCAATCAGATCATTTTTTCATCTTTGTTTTCCATCTGGAAATGAGCGATGAAAAAAGGAGGGCGGCTTGTCCGCAACTTTTTGGCGGTCACTGTATATTAGGTTGTCCCAAAAGTTCTTGCGCCGGATTTTCAAAAAATCATAACTTCCCTGCCACTTAATGGATTTTCTTGAATTCAATTTCACTTGAAAGAGGGAACCTTTCTCTTTACAGCAGTACCTTTGGCATGACTTGGTATTAGAAAGTTCCAGAGCTAGAGGCAATTGAACGAAATCAGTCAAGATTGGCATTTTTCAAGCTGGATCACGAAAAATTCTGGAAGTATTTTTATTTCATAGAGAAAATTCTCCACATTACAGTGGTACCTTTGAAGAGAATGAAGAGAATTTCTTCACTTTTGCAATTTTTGAGCATGCTCAAAAAAGTTTGAAAGCGTCACAGAAAAAGCGAAAAAGTCATAAACATGGGTTTTGCAATTTTCCCTTTTTAACTGACAAGGGAATGGTCAGAAGTCGAAGTGGCCAATTTATACAAGCTGCACACCGTTCGATGCAGCACAAAATGCTGATTTCAAATCTGTCTTCCGTATCTGCAGAGCGCCTTTGTAAGCGAAGTTATGATCAGCTTTAGTGCGAAAAAATCGTACACAAAAATTGCGAGATTAGGCACATTATTGCCCTTTTCGCTCACCTTTAGGTACTGATCATATGATGTGACTTAGTTGCATGTTTTGGACTTGCACTGAGCCTGGTATGGCTCTGTACGGCCGAGTTTGCCCTTTACACACACAATTTCTTAGCAAAATAGTGGCCTTTAACGGGTCATAATTTCGTCCAAAAAAGCGCTCTGCAGATAAGGCAGACAAATTTAAAGTCAGCGTTTTATGCTGATTCTAATGGTATGCAGCTTGTATGGATTGGCCACTTCGATCTCTGACCATTCCCTTGTGAGTGAGTTTCGAGCTGATCGAGAGCAATTTTGATTTTCGTGAAAAACGCCGACCCGAAAATCCGAAAAAAATCACGAAAATCAAAATTGCTCTCGATCAGCTCGAAACTCAGCTAAAAAGGGAAAATCGCAAAACCCATGTTTATGACTTTTTCGCCTTTTTTGTGAGGTTTTCAAGCTTTTTTGAGCATGCTCAAAAATTGCAAAAGTGAAGAAATTCTCTTTATTTGCTTCTAACTCTCGATCTACTCGGTTTTAATTCATGAAAAAGGTACCACTGTAATGTGGAGAATTTTCTCTATGAAATAAAAATACTTCCAAAATTTTTCGTGATCCAGCTTGAAAAATGCCAATCTTGACTGATTTCGTTCAATTGCCTCTAGCTCTGGAACTTTCTAATACCAAGTCATGGCAAAGGTACTGCTGTAAAGAGACAGGTGTCCTCTTTCAAATGAAATTGAATTCAAGAAAATCCATTGAGCAGCAGGGAAGATATGATTTTTTAAAAATCCGGCGCAAGAACTTTTGGGACAACCTAATACTTATTTACTACTAGCTGGCTTGCCCGGCTCCGCCGGGCCTGCCAGCTAGACCCGTGTACGTATGTTCCGAATAGAAATTTTTATCTCTGAACCGATTGGGACCGAACTTTGCACACATACACTTCGGGGCAGGGAGCGTGTCACAGCCCACTTTTCGTTATCGATCGATGTCGATTTTACCGATTTTTTGCAAAATTTGAGCTAGGGGGCTAGGATTTTGCACAGGGGGGGTAATCGAGCATGCTGATCACCCCCTTCGGGGTGATCAGCATGCTCGATTACCCCCCTCTGCCAAATCCCAGCCCTCTAGCTCGAATTTTGCAAAAAATCAATAAAATCGATATCGATCGATAACGAAAAGTAGCCTATGACACGCTCCCTGCCCTGAAGTATATGTGTGCCAAGTTTGGTCCCGATCGGTTCAGAAATAAAAATTTGTATTCGGAACATACGTACATACATACAGACAGACAGACATACAGACAGACAGACAAACAGACATTCAGCTTTATATATAAGAAGATATGTATAATATATACATTCGAAGTAATAACTGTATTTCTGTTATAACTGTTACGATAAACAGTTAATAATAAATGATATTTGTTCTTTCCCACTTTTGTGAGTGTAACCATGTCGATGAGGTAGCATCCAAAGGAAAGAGCAGAAAATGTTATTACTGCACAGGCCAGTTAATAAATCTTGCGGAAGCTCTCAGGACGAGGGAACCTCCCGAAGACGATAGCGGTACTTCCGTAGGTTATCCCCCGGAGATTCCGCTAAAGCCCCCGGGAAATTCCCATGAACTTCTAAGTGTAGCTCGCAGAGTATGAGTATTTAGTAATCTTTTTTGACGATATTCAACGTGATAAAGAAAGTCCAAATCTGAGCTGCCTCTTAGTACCGTATCTTTCCAAGTGGATTCATCAGAATCTTCGACTACAGTAGAAGATTAGGAATTTAGTTAAGTTTTTCGATTAGGGTATTACAAAAGCAAACGTATTTTTTTCTGACACTTTTTAAGAAAATAAAGACAAAATCCATTCATTACCTCGGGAAAAATATCAGCATTGGTGTCATTTACCGGATCAGCACCCCAAAATTGGCAATTTGGCATTGCGACCCGCATTGACTTCTCTGCTTCGACATCTTTACCGATTCCCAACGAGATAATGGTACAATCAATCGAATTTGAGGTCTGTAGAAAATATACCACTTTTTTAGAAGAGACTTAGGTACTAGTAACTTACGTGCGATCTCGGCATTACATGAAACTTTAATTCGTCCGTATTCGAGAAACCTTGGACAGGTAGACGATTTTTTGGGGCACATTTGTTTACGTAATAGGGAAAGTTGGTCCATTGCTGAAAATAAATACAAGTTGTTAGGGTGCGAATACAGAGCGTTTAGAAAATGTCTGCGGTTGATCGGTAATATGTAGTGTTGATCCTCTGTCTTTCAATCTTTAAAAATCATTCTGTACTCTCTCCATATCTCATTAAGGTTGTGAAGGTAGTGCTACAAAGCGCATAATTTCTGTTTCCTACAAAAATATCAGGGAAGATCTCGAATCGCATTGCTAAATTGAAATAAAATGCATATTGTTAGATGCGTCTCAGTGAGCTGATTGCAAATCTATCTTCCCTATTTGCTGCGCGGTTCACTAGAAAAAGTTGTGAGAGGTTAAATGCGTAGAATTATTAGTTCAAATCTGCTTTAACAACCGGTTGAGCACACAATTGGCATCGTGTTGGTGTACTGACTGGAAGAAATACGCACGTACACATGCAACGTAGGAAGGAAGTGTTCTTGAACAACTACTTCTTGCAGTAGTGTCTCTGAATGTTTGCTAAATTTGGATTTTCATACGCTCATAACTTTTTTGAAGAAGAGCGCAGCAGATACGAGAGTTAGATTTGGAATCAGCTGAACAAGGCGCATTTAATGATATGCATTTTGTTCCAACTTGCCATTGCTGTTTGGGATCCATTGCTAGTAAGTGAGACCGTTGAGATGCAAAAAAGTATATTTTTTTTGAAGCAATGTGGCACGAACTTTGACCGACCCAAGTCATAAAATCTTAAGCTGTGCTGGACTATTTTTGGAGCAACAAGTTCTCATTGTTGCGAAACCCTTTGCAAAGTCTTTACCGTAATTTTATGGCAACGATGAGCGATCGATAATTAGTCGAATCTATGTTGACAACTATAAATATAGTCAGGGAAGAACACTGGGATAAGACAGATTTTGACAATTAGACAACGACAAATTTTCGCACATCCTGCACATTTTTGCACTTACCCTTTCTAAATCGTTTGAGTTGGCGTCAATGTTGGATAGTAGGCATTCACGTGAAGATTTGAAAAAATCTGTTCTATCCTAAAATCTTCTTAATACTTGTTCATTGATTTAGCTTTTGTTTCACAGCTTACCGAGCCGGCTTGCAAATACATGATTAATGCGAATAGAAATATGCCCATATATACACATCCCATAAGAATCTGACGATAGAGTGCAGATGAATTCCGCATTTTGTAGATTCTATAAAAGGAAACAAATTTTAGAAAAACAAATTTGATGATTAAAGGATTTATTTGATATGACTGGCAAGAAGCTAGTCTCGAAATATTGGGCATGATTGACTTGAGACATAACAAGAGCGTATGCATATCGCACTTCTGTTGGGAACCCGGGCTCGGTCCGGGTTATCTGATCTTGACCAGGTTTGCGAACAACGGCTGAACTTATCGCATAATCGAGATAGAAAGTTTTGGGGAAAGGCAGGCAGCGTATATGGCCAGAGGAAAGACACAAGAAATTATTTTCAACTAAAGAAAGCTTGTACAAATACAACTCTTTGGGGAAGTAAACGAACTTCTTTTTGCAATTAGATAGCCGGGAATCGTTCATTCGTAAATTTTTATCACAAAATTTTCTCGATTTTTCCTTCGCAATCAAGTTTACTCGAAAGGTTGCTTTGAAGAAAAGTTCGAGTAAAAATTTAGCTTTCTAGATAATCTCTTTCTTGAAATTTCGGATAGTTTAAGTGTCGTAATTTTCTCGAAACCATATCTCAAGATGGGGTAAAAAAATACTACAGTCAGGAAAATCTTATTATGTTAAGCTCATTACCATAGAATGAACAAAGATTTTTTTCAACAATCTCCTTTTTGGCTCAAGGTAATGGCTTCGTATCTAACGGAAAAGTCTTAGTCTTTGTAGCCATAAGGCAGTACCATGGTTCGGTACAGCTGGCACCGGGTCAAGCTGGATATCGTTTCTGGGACAAGAAGCGAAGGTGATGTCGTTTTGTGGCCAAGAAGAGGACGATTTTTTGGTCGACGTTTCTTTTCTTATTTTTTTTTGTACGTTCAGCGTTCAGGGTCAAATGGGATTTTGTACGAAATTTTCAGGATCAAAGGAGACTTCGTTTCGAGATTTCCCTGGTGCCAGCTCGTGCCGAGCGCTGGCGAGTACTACACGACTGACTACGCAGAATCTTTTCAAGAGCTTTTCTAGAAGATAAAAAAAATTGCGAAGTCAAGAAGGTCCATTTTTCCGACTTTTTTAAGAGGCTGTGACTCCGAGGATGTTTTTCAATATCACTTTAGTACATAGTAGAATTGGCAAGCGTCATCTCAAATTTCTGTTGATAGCTCTAGCCTTATTCTATCGAAAAGAAACTTGCACGCCTATATAAAGAAAAGAATTGAGCTCATTAAAAGGCTTCAAAAATTGGTCAAGTTTGGACATCGATATCTTCGCTCTCATGATAGTTAGAAGAGAGCATATTTGTGTAGTTAATACGTTTGCTCAGTAACTTACGCTAGCTATGCTATCATGGGCATGCATTGCTTGCCGAATAAGTTAAGGTCAAAAAAATGCACAAAGAAAAATCTTTATATTAGACTTTCTTTATGAATGCTTGAGAAATGTGAATATTAGGTTGGAAACTAAGTTTTGCAACTCACCAGATAATCTTGCTCCCGTTTGACATAAAGCACTAAAATTCTGCCGTGTGGGTTTGACGTAAGCAACAGGCACAGCTGCTGTTCCAGCGAGGATTACGGCAGTATATGGTATGAGGGGGAGAAGTGCAAATCATTACGGATTTGGCTGAAACTTGGCGTAGATGGGTTATCTGACTTGCTGATCACGAATAACGTACCGAATTTGTGTGGTGAGGGAAGGATTACTGTAGCTTCAGGGTATTGGATCTCGCCCTAAACAATGGAAAAGACTTTAATTCAACAGACGAATATGATACTCGTGTCTAGCAGGCCGAATAACCTCACTTGAAGTTCCGCGGATTTTGGCGTTTTCACTCACTGGTCACTGTTGGTTCCCCCACCAGCCTTGCGTACTTCGTAAGGGCGCTAGATTTCGACTTGTCTTTCATTTCTATTCCTTTCCCTCTAAGCCAAATGTGGTCTTTCATTTCTATTCCTTTCCCTCTAAGCCAAATAAAGTTAAGAATTATTATGGATGATTTGTGTCACGAACGGCTCATTTTTGCTTATAACCTCATAAATCCTCGAAACTTACTGCTTTTGGAGCAATGCTTGTAGATTTTTCATTCTGTTTTCAAAAATCAAATAGTTCATGCAAGATTGTAGCACACATTGAGATCTACACATAACCAAAGTTTGAGTGCGCCACGTTCAAGGATCGTAAAGTATGAAAGCAATTGCAAAACTTAGTTTCCAACCTAATAGATGAAGCTAATAAGCGAAGAGAATCATGTTAGAGAGAGTACGAGTAGCGCTTTCATACAGCATGTAAAGTTGGTCGCGAGAAGCAAAATACCAGGAGTACGGTTGCTATAAAAAAGGACCTGCTAATGGAAATTATCGTGCTTAACTTCATTTCGTTTTCCGCATTATGATTTTTCGAGAATTTTATTGAAGCATCTGCTTTACATTCCTGCAAAGTTTCGTTGTCAAAATAGCGATTGTCCCAAGCAGAGTTAACCATCCAGTACTCCCTAAGGGCCGGGAATACTACACGCGATTTCAGTCGCGACGCGATTTGGCAATTCGCCAGAAGTCTTCAGATTTAGTTTGAAAACTAAAAATAATACCCCAATATGGAAAATTGATTTTTGAATCAGGAACAACTTCATCGACACAAATGAAGCGAAGAAATCTAGGTAGTCGGGCAGCTTTTGAAGGCAATATGGCAGATTTCAGAACGTTTCTCCTTTGTATTTGTAATAACAATGACAAATTATGGCAGTGCTTTAGAAGTTAGAAGCATGTCACTTTTATCTTCTACATGTTCTCCATATAGAAGAAAGTCAAAGTAACATTTGTCTTTGTAGACAACCGACAGAATCGCTAACTGAAGATTGAGTCATTATGTAAGATTCCAGAATTTTGGCCCCTCAATTAGAACCATTTGAAAAGTTCCAAGTGCACAAATAGTGTGCAATATTATGATTATTTGCCGACGAAGAAGATACCATTCGGTTTCGGTCGCACTCACTGTACTTCCCTTTAGTCTTGTCCCATCTTTTCTTCCTTCAACTGATTTTCTGTGCACTAGAGGTGCTAAATGAGATAATCCTGCATCAGCTATACGCTGTCCGAGGAGTCACGGCGTGTTCAATTCCAAGAGGCTTCGAGTTGTATTTCATCTAGTGCTTTATTTTGTTTCTTCAAAAAAGATAGCAAAAGCAAGACATTGATGGAGGTACCGGTCAAGTTAAAGCTGTAAGTATTAGGTTAAAGCAAAATCCATGCATTCCTTATCCTACCTCGGCGAAGACATAAATATGTACGGAACATAACTTTCAACTGGACTAAACAAGCTTCTTATGATGGCGTCCAAACAATCACAAAAAGTTCTATACAAAACTTTGAAATATTCAAAATAGGATTTTGCATAGATTTTATGCAAACTTCCACTGCTGAAAAAAGCTGCTTATCGCTATAATGATTCTATGTTAAGAACCATCCTACACATGATAATAGATTTTGAGCGTAGCGTTTTTCAAGGACTAATTCGGCAAGTGCACTTTTGAAATCCCAGTGCGGGTAGCCCATAACAGTCTCAAGGTTCGCAGAAGTTTTTTGGAGGGAGTTTAAATTCCAAGTTTTCAGAATTTCTTCAAATTTCTTCCAAACTGCCGTGTACGGAACATTTGCGAATTATGAACGTCATCGTAAGAGATTGATTCGCTATATCGAATGATATGTCCCACATAAATTTAGCTTTTCTCCGACGGGGCAGAATCAGGAACGCATTGATTTTGCATCAATCAACAAAATTGTCCTCCAGGGTGAAAACGTATGTACATGCGGATAGGTTGCGCTTACATACCGCCAAGACAGATTTTTGTATGGGACAAAGATGTTCACATTACAGTCTAATTGCTTTTCATGGTGGACTCTCATTAGTCTGCTTTTATAAGAAACTAGCTGCGGTCCCCGGTCCCGCCCGGGCCGAGAGTCCAGAATGGCCCAGCATAGGGTGTGCTTCAAGATGCATACTTACCAGTCCTCCACTTTCTTCAGTTCACATCTTCTGTGACTCTCCTGCTTCACCTCCTTGTCAGTTCCAGCGCTCGTGTAGTATCCGTGGTGGATAGTCTTCTTTCTTGACCGGCTCGCTTCATGACACCGCATGCTCCTCACCGCAAAATGTAAATGATCTCTACCACCCCTTACTACTTAAGTTGAAGAAATGAATGGTATAGCCTTCATTTTCCTAGATTTTAGTAAACAAAATCAATAAATCGATAGAAGGACCCAGCGAATTGTCGAAAAAAGTAGCCTATCTGATGCGCCGTGTCTCATTCATAGGGAAACAAAATTCAGCCTCTTTGGTTCACATACAAAGGAGTCTATAAGCCACAAACATCCTAACAAACACGGTACAGTGTTTGAATTTTATATATATATACATATATAGATAATAGATTCTCCTATAAGATAGAGTGCACGATGATGTTTATTTTTGTCGCATCCATGCAACTTATCTAACTCCAATTCCCAGGCCAGAGATATTCGTACCATTTTAATTTAGGTGTTGTAGTGGGTGATGGTGTTGTCCGAAATGGTCGCCCACCAGGGCCTAAATAGACACCTTTTCTAATGTGCTGCATCAAAATGGAAATCGAAAATATTACCGGCCACTCGCACAACCATAAAGATCACCTGCAAAATTTTGTTTGAAGTTGAAAAAAGGTAGAAGACTGCAAATTTCACTAGCATGAAGATTGGTGCCGAATGTATCGAACAAATGGCTACGCGCAAAGCTTTGGACAATTCTGGGATCTGTACCTATTTTACAGCGCATTTCAGCGCACAGAGAAGACAATTTTGTCACGAGTTGTCAGCACAGCAGGACATTATATAGCGTTGAATCTATCAGCCTATAAAGACACCCACCAGCATGACAATAATCAAGAAGATCTTCATCCTGGCACCTTTGGTCAACTTCCTAAATTAGAAAAATCCTCGATAAAGCATGATGGTAACAATAAGAAAAGGAGAATCGCATACCAATGAAGCTCCGTATAATGCTTTTGTGACCTGCAGCACTCTTTTATGTAAAGTGTCGACATAAAAAAAAGTTTTCCTAAAATTCTCATTTGTGTTTGAATAAATCATGAAATCTTTAGACAAGTTTTGAGCAGCGAAGAAACATAATGTGCATTGTATGGCGCTATTATTTGTTTTGATGTCACAAGCATCAATCACAAAATCCTTAGGAAAGGAAAAGCAGCTACAAAATACATTGCTCGCAAAAAAGTCAAACATTAGCATAGTTTCGCTAAGATAGCAAATTTTTATGTCATTTCCGCTATGGATAAAGCATCTACAATAGTGAAGCAATTTTCAGTTCGATTATGTCCTTTACCAGAGCCCATATTAAGAAAGTAAATTTCTAAAGCCCGTGTGCACGTACATCCCCGCTGGGGAGGGAAGGGGATCTGAGAAGAGATGCGTCATATCTCGCTACTCTAGATATCTTTCTTCTTCCTTCTCTACTTATAAAGGTTCTCATAGTTTATACATAATAGATGCCAAGTTACTGCCATACAAGATTAATTTTTTTGCCATTTTGTGTGATCCCCTAGGGATCTCCAGGGAATCCCTGAGTGATCTCCTCCCATTTTCAAAGGCATTTAATTTACTGAGAAGTCACTGAAAATGCTGCAAAATTGTACTGAGGATATACTACGGCACTGCTGAGCAAGTTTCGGACAAAAAAACAGAAACCTGAAGATTTTGATTTTTTTTTGATAATCTTCAGCTTGCGAGCTGTGGTTCACAGATCTCGATATCCTGCAATTCACTTATTTCTATCATAAACACGTTTAGCAGTGCCATAGTATATCCTCAGTACAATTTTGCAGCATTTTCATTGGCTTCTTAGGAAGATGAATGACTTTAAAAATGGGAGGAGATCCCTCGGGGATTCCCTGGGGATCTCTAGGGGATCACACAAAATGGCAAAAAAAAATCATTGTATGGCAGTAGCCTGGTATCTATTATGCGCAGGTATAAGACTATGAGAACCTTTATAAGCAAGATAGAGAAGGAAGAAGAAAGATATCTAGAGTTGCGAGATATGGCGCATCTCCTCTCAGATCCCCTTCCCTCTCCAGCGGGGATGTAGTGCATACGGGTCTAAGTCGTATTGAAAGACAATTTACGTTGGTAAATCTTGTTTTTATTTCGTGTGCTTGATACGCACATAACATCTACTTGTTTTGTTATTTCTACACTGGAGTGCATTTCACAGTCATTTATGGATACTCTGTATTATGATTATTTCTCGCAAAATTCCAATTTTGAGATGATGACATAGAACGTGACTCTGGATCCTTGGAGGTCATTTTGTAGAACATGATCTGCACTATCAAATGATTCCCTAAGTCTAGTAGAGAAACAAGAACAGCTTGATTTATCTATAATAGAAAAGAAGTTTACTTTTGGGACAACCTAATAAAAGAAAAACTCAAGATAACCTGCTGATGTTCTCCAAATTGATGTTAGGTTTCAAATTCCTACTTCCAGTTACAGCCTTCCTCACTTTGGCACTGCTACACCTATGTTATTGCACTGTGGTGTTCTCCATCATCGAATTTAACTTGATCGCTAATCTGCAAAAAGTGGTTATGTGGTGTTTTAATTTCTGCAGAAGAAATTCACAACTGTATAGATTACCTACTGTATATACTATCGGACAGAGACAAAACGCTCAATATGATTGATTGAGTTATTATGTAGGACCTTAAAACTTTAGCTCTTAAATTAGAAACAAGTTCCAAGTAAGCGCACAAATAATGTGCATTGCTATGATAATTAGCTCTTCTCAGAAGTCACGCCGCCGCAGGCTCGCATTCCTTTCAGAGGCCGGTCGTAGTCGTACGTTGAGTCCTTCTCGATGGGCCAAGCCACTGCAAAAGGATGGAACTACTGAGACATCGAGCAAGCTCCACTTTTGGTTGCGAAATGTTGGTCGATCTCCGCATGAGTCGTTCCGTTGCGATTCCCAAGTCCACCGGCGATGTTCTTTCTTCATAAAGATGAAACTTCCATGGAGAATTCGTAGGCGGAGAGAAGACCAACAAGACGGTTGCCGTTTTTGTTCTGAAGGCATTTTTCGTTCGAGGCAAAATCCGTAATTATTAGGTTGTATAAAAGGGTCCCGGGCACTTTCGGTTTTTTTTTCAAATCGCTGTAACTTCAAGCAGATTGATTCTTTTTTGAGGCTACAGAATTCATTGCAAAGACAATTTTGTCCACTACATATATCTTGTATGTCTTGCTGGCTTCTCAGCACCTCGCTGGGGTTCACCAGCATGCGCAGAAGGGAAAAAGGTTGTCGCAAAAAGTGTCTATTTGTGCAAGATTATCTCAAGCATGATGAGAGCTGGAAAGCCCAGACGCTCTAGTTATATAGAGGTCTGCTGGGGCTGTTATGGAGACCATTCATGTTTTAGAAGGACCAGCTGCAAAAAAATTTTTCCCAGAAAATTTGAAAAATCGACCATTTTTTGCCCCCAAAAATGCACCATTTTTCGAATAAATGACTTTCAAGTCTTCTAGTTCTGCACAGAATGGACCAAATCTTTGATTACTGGCAATATTGGTGAGGTAATGCCTTTTACACCCATTATCCAGGCGTGGCGATCTCCGCAGAAGGGACGCCAGCTGCGAAAAGAGTTGCAGTCAGAGGCAAGTTCGACAGCTTGTAATTTCTGAGCGCACATCGCAAAACTCGAGTGCAGTTGCAGGTCAGAAGTTAACAGGCTTCCCAGTCAGATCACCCATGATTTGGACGACATTCTTTGAACTGCACAAAAAATGGCCGTGAAAAGAATAATTGTGAACTTTTTTGTGGTTGAAAAGATTTCCCTTCTTGATGTGCAGATCAAACACGTCTCGACAGCGATAAAATTCAGAAGGCTTGTGGAAAACTTCAGGCTTCCCTCTACTGAATAGTATAAAAAACTTACAAGGAAACGATACTTGATGTCCGTGACCTTTTGGGATGGGATGTATATCATTACACTCGTCTTGGAGCGCTGATTCCGAATCTGACTTCCGTTTTTGCTAATCGTTTCTCTGAGAGAAGTTATGAAGGATTTTCACGCCAAAGGAGAAGTGGTCAAAATGCCAAAACCGCCGCTAAGATGTGGTGTAGTGGCTAGTGCCTTAGCCTCGCAAGTTAATACAGGTTTAGGTTCAAGTCCTTTTGCGTTTTTCAGTTTTGCATTGCCTCAATCAGGCATCTTTTCGAAAGTAGGCATCCTAGACCGTATTTGTCTTGGGCGACCATTGACGAGAAAATCCTCCATAACTTCTTTTAGAGAAATGATTAGCAGAAACGGAGGTCAGATTCGGAATCAGCGTTTCAAGACGAATGTGAAATGGTATCGTTTTATCTCAAAAAGCTACGGACACCAAGTATCGTTCCCTTGTTAGTGTCAAAGTCCGACCGAGCGCCGAAAAAATGCGTTTGAAAATGAAATTTCCAAAAGTGCCCGGGAACTTTCTTTACAACTAATGCGTTCATAATTGCCAAAACTCTTCACCCGTCATTTTCATCTGTTCAAAGATCGGCCAATTTGTAAAAAATTGTACTCCAATATTTTGGAAAGGATTTAGTATGTCTTAGATAGAGCAGATTTCGGACTGCAAGCCTTTCTTCTTTTCTGCTGAAGCTTTGAAGATTACATATATTTCGGAGATTTCGATTGTTGGTGAAGTTATGAAATACGCTACTGCAGCAATATGAAAGCTTCCAAAGTTTCTGCGAACTGAAATTTGGGTAATACTCGACATTGTTCACGCAACGTAATGAGCTCGATTTGCTCTAAAGAACTTTTTTTTAGGAATTTTAGGTGTCCTATGGGCTAAACGTGATCAAAAAGCTGTGGTTTCTCCTAAAATATGTTACATAATTGATAAACGTGACCTGTGTGATCTGAAATCAGCACAATGTAGCCAAAGATTTTCTCTACATAACAGCTACATCGCTTTTTAAGGATATTAGAATAAGATTTTCGAAAATACCGGGAAGATTTGGTGTTACCATTGGGCTGTTTGAAAAGCCATGGCGATACCTTTGCAAAGACAGCGTAGATCGGAAGCAAATATAGCTGTAAGAAAAAGGTTAGAAGTCATCGAACGGTACCTAAGTCGTCCATCGACGGTGTCCTCTGAGTTTTAGCGACCGATGAAAAAACCGACAGAACTTTGAGGATAACCTAATACTTTCAGAATTTTTCATGACTCTGCACAAAAATTCTTTTGATCAGTTCTTATTCTTTTGCTTCTAATTCTTGCCTTTACTCATATTAGGTCAGCATAAAGGTACTGCTGTGAAGCGCACGATTAAGCAGCGATCCATTCAAGAATAAATAATTCAACTAGTTGCCGAGAAGAAAAGAAGTTATGATTCAGAGGTGCAGACAAACTTCAGACCATGCTGATATGAGAATGTCCCATAAGTTCCTTCCGTTTTAATTTTCAACCGCAATAAGTCATGAACTTCTTAATTCTAGATAAGTTTCGAGGAACAACTTGATAGAGCAAAGTAAGCTCTACAAGGTGATGCTCTTGCTTTGGCACCAGTTCAAAGATCCAACCGCCCGAAAATTCAAGAAAAAATCGTAACTCCTTACAAAAAAATCCTAGGGAATTCCTAATCTGCTCGAAGAACACTATCTACTACAGACATTTATTTATATTAATGCTATATTTTTTCCTAGAATAGAAATCAAGAAACCGAAAATTTCCTTATTTCTGCCAAAGTGATGTGTGCTGTCAGACCAGTATAAGTACAGATATGAATTTCAAGCACTCTATAGGCTTTATTTCTCGAGAAACATTGAATTTTGCTTCACTCAGTCGGGTGTCCCATATAGAAACGAATATTCCTCGAGAACTAAAGCCTTTAGAGCGCTAAAAATTCATGTCTGTGATTGTAATCGTATGAAGTATACAACTACCAATATGGGTACAGCATAACATCACTTTGGCAAAAACGTGAAAATTTTCGTTTTCTTGATTTCTATGAAGGAAAAAAAACAGCAACAATACAAACATGTCTGATGTGGATAGTG